TCCCTATTTCAATCCTGTCTCAGGGCCCTAAATGGAAACAAGTAAAAGTTACCGATGTTTTCGTTACCAATAAACCCAAATTTGATTCTGTACTGATATTGGGTCAGCCATGGTTCCAGGAAAATGCAATGAAAGTAGACTTCCCAAATAAAACTCTTACGTTGCTCAATGGAACTAGCTGCGAGGTTAAGTGTAATTGAGAATATCTGGGAAATCCATAGCATATATGCTTAAAATTTCGTAATACAATAAATATTAATTATTTATCGCAATAGCGAATTCCCATATTTCACGAATTCGTTCATATGATACATTATATTTTTTAGCTAGATTCCGTAAGGCATTTGCTGAATCCTTAGCAGTAATTATATCACTAATTGCTTCGGGTGATAATTGTGTAGCACCTGATCTTAATCTTTTAATCATTTATATACGCATAAAAAAATATTATCGGAGAAAGAATCAATTACACTCTGTTGCTTTAACATTGCTTCAAATTTTTTACAGAGACTTTGCATTGTCTCGGGATTATTAACTTCGGCCATCGTAATAGTTGAATTATTATTAATACGAAGTAAAAAATACATTATATATATATTTACGAAAATAAACAATGCGAGAATCATATCTGAGCTATCCAGTTTCAGAACCTGAAAAAACCGAAGATATTCCACCGCCTATACAACTCGATAAGTCTGTGGGTGAATACTTCAAACGAATAAAATTATCATTGGGGTTAGATATGGATGATGAAAAGATTAAAGAAAAATTTATCAATGGTTTGTCACCGGAGAATCAAATAAATGCGATCCGATTTGGGATTAAGGAGCCTATAAATAAAATAAGTGAGCATTTAAAATTTATCTCAACCGGGCCTACCGATATTCAAAAATTCCGATTTGGGGAATTGGAGCAAGGAAACGAATCAGTAATGGAGTATTTTGCAAAAGTAGAAAAATGTGGTAAATTAGCCGGATACAATGAAGAACGGCTTAGATATTTCTTCCTCCGTGGATTGTCACCTGATAACCAGATGGAAGCCAGAAGATGCGGAACAGACCTATCATTAGATGAGCTGGTTGCAAAGTTAAGTGTGGTTGAGAATATCCAGAAAATAAATAATATATATACCTAAATTAATTATCCAAGCATTGGTTTTTTCATTAAAGATATATAATAATACATTATTTGAGAATGGTGCAACTGAATATATTTGATTTACCAGAATTACTAGAACAGATCTTATATTTTTTAGAAATCGATCGATCTCTCTATCCTGCTTTATTTGTTAATCGGCTTTGGTACAAGTGTGGTATACCGCTACTATGGAGGAGAATTGAGTTAAAAGGTAATGATATTCATTACGGACATTATTTCCCGGTTGAATATAATTATTGTGAACGATATCGAACGCGGTTAGAAAGTTTCATAAAATTAATATGCGGGAAGAAAAAACCAATTTACGCTTCAAAGCTGAAAAACTTAAAAATTTCACATTATCATTCAATTACACACAAATTGATTAGATCTATCGTAAATTACTGTCCAAATATAATTCATTTAGACTTTAAAAATAGCGTGGGTATTAGTGATGAGACATTAATTAAAATAACTTCTTCATACCCGAATTTAAAACACCTTAATTTATGGGATAATCAAATGATATCTGATAAAGGGTTATGTGAGATTGCGCAAACATGTAATAAATTAGAATATCTAAATATTTCTTACTGTAGAAGTATTACCGATAAATCATTAATGACAATTGCGGAATCGTGTCGTAATTTGAGAGAGTTTTATTTTAATGAAGCGCATTGGATTACTGATAGAACTGTAAGTTGTATTTTAAACTCATGCTCTAATTTACGATGCTTAGGTA